ACTCCTTATTTCCACATCAGAGATGCTAAAATGGCGGCCTCAGAGAGAGTCAAGTCTGGGGTCACTGGAGATCGGCTGTGGCTCAACATCAATGAGCCCACTGAGAAGGACAAAGGCAAATACACCATGGACATCTTCGATGGCAAGGACGGCGTGAAGAGAGTCTTTGAGCTGTGTGGCCAGGGTACGACAATAATTCAAGTGTAAATGACAATGTTTCAGATGAGGAGCCATTACTAAAAGCTTTTTTTTCTATAACTTTTTCAATGCAGCATGGGACGAGGCATTTGAAGAATTCCAAAGGCTGAAGTAAGTAAACAAACACCCTTGACGCAACACGCAACGTGTTGTGCAATCCTTTATTTCTGTCTGAGGAGGATGTTTGTGTCTGACAAATAGTTCCAGAATGCCTTAAATAGTTTCAGTCCACTCTGTCAGCACTCAGCATCCAGTTCCTGTCATTGTTCTTCATATCGTGAGGGAAAAAAACTGTCCTCATCTGCCTGTGTTGTAGAAATTATTGTTGACAATGTGTGTCTTCCTTTTTATAGGGCAGCAGCAATTGCAGAGAGAAGTAAGTTAATATTTAATCTGCTCTTTCTTCCAAAAAACAATGCTGTAGGAAGTGATACATTATCCAAAAGACAGAAGCTACATAAGAACTGCTGAATCTTTCAAATGGGGGTCTGTTAGCTGTCACGATGAACCCTGGTGAACTTGGTAAAAATAGATTTTAGATAAAGTTTTTAGCCCAAAATTACAAATTTATAGCCTTCTAGTTTGTCTTCCAACCCTTGAATATGTATAAAGATGGGAAAAGGGGCTGAGAATTTGTAATGAAAACCCATTTAGTGTTGTTCTTTACAGAGTTCACTTGCCTTTTAGAAAAAATAAAAGGCAAGTTTGTATTTTATGATTACAATAAACAAATAAGGTTAATTATCACTGACATTACAGTAAGAGTCAAGTGATTGTCTTGTTGTCAGTAAACAGCTTCTCATGATCACCTCATCTTCTGTTATTTCTTATTTAGACCGCGCTCGTGTTATTGGAGGATTACCAGACGTGGTTGCAATCCAGGAGGGCAAGGTAGGTTTAATAAATTTAAGTATTTTTCAGTTTAATTAGCTTTAAATGCCTCATCGTGTCATTATCATTTTCTTGAAGCACTATATTTCTTCTAAAGCTAAAGCTTTTGTTATTCATTTCTCTTAAGTCCCTGAACCTGACTGGCAATGTCTGGGGTGATCCCTTACCTGAGGTGTCCTGGACAAAGAATGAGAAGGAGCTGGTGACTGACGAGCGCTACAAACTCAAGTTTGAACATGGCAAGTTTGCCAGCATCACTATTTCTGCTGTCACCAGAGCGGACTCTGGTAAATACGCCCTCCTGGTCAAGAACAAGTATGGCACAGAAGCTGGAGAGTTCACAGTCAGTGTGTACAACCCTGAAGATGAGGAGAACAAGGAAGATAAGAAGGACTAAAGGATAGTGTTTATTGATAGAGAAAGAAGAAAAAAATGTAATTCACAAGTGGGCAATATTCAAAGCATTTCACCCCGGCCCAACGCCGGAGCACCAAAGCAGCCAAATAAGTCAGGAATACAGCTACTTCCCCCGTCCCTATTTCATGTGCTGGACTAAAGAGCTTTGTCCGTCGCTTGTGAGGAAGGAAACAATAAATGTGGGTAATAATTGTTCGCTAGTAGTTGCTTGAAATGTCTTCCGTTTGTTTCTGCCACTTGTATTTGCATTTACTATATGAATGATAGACGATGTCACTGACCTTTGTTTTAAAAAAAAGCATGAAGCTCAGCAGAAGCAAGATACTACTTTCTGTTTTACTGTATGAAAGTCAGTATGAAAGTCAGTTAATCTTTGCACTGTCAAATAAAATCATTATGCCAAGGCGTGTGTATGTTCAAAAAGTAATAAATGTAAAGATGTAGCTCATAAAGTCCTTAGCAGATGTCACATTTTCTTGTCAGCAAAGCTATGTCGTTAGTATAACTATAATTATGTTTAACATTTACTTTCATTTTGTTACAGAGCTGTGCTGTTTACACTCTACAATTATCAGCCATCATTATAACCACATGTTGTAGAAGAGGTGGAGCCGGTAAACCCGGTTGACGTGTAGAATGAGTGTGACAACACACATGTGACTGTCAAAACTGGTTCATTCAAGCCCAGGAAACGTGCGTAAAGCACCACACAAATGACCAGCATTCTTGTTGAAGTGATGCTCAAAACTAAGTCACTTGATTGTTATGCAACTGTCAGAAAGTACTGTGTGTAAAGTGAAAGCAGTGTTTTGTTTATGGTGCATTTAAAAAGAGATGTACACGTAATTGCTCTGCAGCATTTGGTCTGTGACGTGGCTAACAAAAAAGTCAAACTTGAGGCTGTGTTCTCTCCAAGATAATCTTTATGGTAATAAAGCTGCAACTGCTTTGGAGAAGATTTTCTTATTTCTTTTCATTAGTATAGGTGCCAGTTGCTTTGGTTATTTGAAAATTGCAGAGGGCTTATTGAATTAATAAAACACAGCTTAATGACTAATGTATATTCAGCACATCATTTGGTTATGGTGGCTAAAAGATAATAGTGATGTGTTGAACCCATACACTTTTTGTTTTTGTTTTTTATCGATTTTTTAGTATTTTGTTTAAGTGTAAGGAAACTGGCCTGGCTTTGATTTCAAATTATGATACATCTTTGGAATGATTGATTTTACAGTGCATTTGCTAAGACAATTGCACAAAATACTGCCTTGTTTTCCTTTAAATTCTTTTATTAAAAAAAAATCTTTCGGGGGTGGGGGGGGGGTGCCCCTGTCTTAGGGCCCCTTATGTCGTATGCCGTATACGCCCCTGTAAACAGTTTAGTTAATGTTCTTTGTAGTGTCGTTTTATCCAGCATAGTCTTGCTCAATTCTGGCTCTAATCTAGGCTGCACTTAGTTACGGAAGTGACAGAAGCAGTCAGTGTTCATCCTTAGTTAACCTCTGTCACGTCAGCTATGCGAGGGCTCCGTCACTGTGCGGCTCTTCCCGTCAACTTAAGACCGTAGCCTCACCAGGCAGCACCTGGGGTCCAGCCACGGACACGTCAGGAGGAGGCTTCTGAGGAGTTTCACAGACCAGAGACATGGGTACCGACTGAAGAGAACTGTTGTTCATCACTGGTAGCTGCACATTGAAGTAACCTCCAGGTAATTACACACTGACCAGGCTGAGTTCAGCTGTTTTTACACCCCCAGCAGCTCTGCGTGTGATATACATTTTCCACCATCGGCTAATGTTAGCTATAGCCTGGCTAACGTGTTTGAGCAGTTGCTGAATGGTTTAAACAAAATAGGACACGGTGTGGATGTGTTTGAAATGATCTGATCACGTAATGAAACCACGAGCGTCTCCGCGTTTCATTAAAACCGGCGATCGAGCGGCTGTTGTCGTACACCATTCGCAGCTAACGGTAACGTAAAGCAGCACTGGGCTAACAGTGACTGGAGTGACCGGCCGTAGCCTGGTCGCTGTTACTGTATTATAGCGTATATCTTTGAATTGTCTGCTGCCCGTGCCACAATATATGCGATCTTAGTCGCAAGAAACATAAAAAAAACCCACATGTATTTATTAGCACAAACCATTAATGACAATATTTGATTGTTATTTCTTGATGACTGCGGACTGTCATACTGACGTTTCACTGTCCCCCAGTATGAGCTTTAAGTCATTGAAATTTGAATTATAACCAAAACAGCAAAGGCTACGTTTATATTTGCGTCCGTTGTTTAAAAAGAGACTCGTTATACAATTTATATTCGTCTTCTGGCTTTATTTTCTTGTTGTTTTCTTGTCTTGCTCCTGTCACCCCAACAAACAAACCAGAAAGTAGTGATATTATAAAAAAAACAACAGTTGTTTACATGTTGGTAGACGGGAGGATTTTATGCTAATGAATAGCTTACATTGTTTATCCCACCTTTATAGTTGACCCCAAACTCGGGTTATGACCCCCCAAAGTGTCAATGACCCTTGTTGTGACACCTGGGTAAACAGTCTATTTAAAAATCTAAATGAAGGCCTGTCATAGAGTTTATTTACGCAGTTTCTCACCTACAGCTGTCACGTTCACCAACTTGCTTGATGCAACATTCACAAGTTTCATTTTCTAGTTTTAGTTTTTTTTTTTTTCATTTTATTTTATCAACAACAAACAGCAGCCTCTGTCTTTTGGAATTGTTCAGTAATTGTGAACATGACCAGGCTGAATAAATCTGACCTCGGGCTGTTTTTCTCTGGTTATGATTGTCACGATTTGTCTCACAGTCATAATAAGAAGGTGCATTTCTGTTTCAGTTGATGTAACCTTAGACTTGAAACACAGGAAAAATAAGTGTAACCTGAGCCTAGTGTTGTCTGATTGGCTAGAGCAGGCCTTAGGACTCAACTCGGTGTCGCTCAGTCAATGCAAACAAACACGTCAAAGTCAAATATAGGCTGTAATTGTGTAGGTAGAGTAAGTGAAACCATATGAGTCACACATGTGGTCTTTTACGGAGTCTGGTGCTAATCTGATTTTGGCTCAGTGTGACAATAATGAATTTTCAGTAGTACATTAACAGTAGTTACAGTAGCTACAGTAACTAGATATATAATGGCAGATGTCAACACAGGAATGGAAGAACAACCTCCATTTTCAGTTGTTTTGTCTGTTTTGAGTGGTGTTTACTAAAGGCTTAACAGAATGGACGGTTAGAACATACTTCTTAAGATTCACTTGGGAATAAAAGCTCACAGAAGGGTGGTTATAATTTTAACCGCAGAGATTTTCATTCCTCTAAAAGAACTTCCGTAAGCGCACACTCTGTTTCTGAAGTGTCTTTAAGATTAAATCACCATTAAGTCTACTTTTATTAATGATACTTAGAGAAGAATAGTCCCTGAAGAGATTATCTCTCAGATTAACAACTGTTTTCTAGGACTTTTACTGATTAATATTTGTGGTCACATGGCCAGGCTATGAAAAGTTCAAGTGCAAAGTGCAAGTAATGACCAACGTGTTGAACTCCAGTGCCCAGAACTGAATTGCATTGGCTGGAGCCAGCTGTTATCTCATCCATTAGACATGCACAACAACAAGCAGAAGCAACAATTGTACCAGACATGTGACTGAGTGCATAACGTTGTCATGCAGCAGTGAACTGCTCTGTCTTTTCTCTGAGCTTGGGCTCTTATCAGGGAAAAACAGTGTTGCTCTTCTCGTAAATTAGTGGCCTCTTATCAGCTGTGCACTGCCACCTTAAAGGTTTCATCCTATTGGTTGGACTCTGGCCTCTGGCATCTGACTGGATAAGCACAAAAAAAACACATACATCCCCTGCAAAGAAATATCAGAGGATCACAAGGTTTACAACAGAGTTGCACAATTACCCCTGGCTATACCCCTGGAATAGAATATCAGAATCTATACAGGAGAGGTCAGTTCAACAGTAAAAGGTAGGCTGTATTTGAGTTTGTGCACAGGATGGAAGAAAGCCATTACCATAATCCAAAGGAGAAATACATGAGGTCGAGTGGTGTCTACCGAGGTGGCTAATGTCATAGCTGATGCCTTACAATTAATAATGAAAAGACAAAGTTGTTGGGTGGAGTTCTTGGGAAACAACACAGACAACAGTGAACAGGATGAGTCCTCGTCTTTGGGATTGTCCTGGTTCCTGGTAAGTCAAATTGACAAGTCTCTTAGTCAGTGGCATTGAAAGATAAAGATCCCATGACACATGTGTTTCTGCACTGCAAGGTTGCTGATGTGTTGTGTCAGTTCTGTGGTCAAGCCTATTAAACAAAAACGTGTCACTAGAGTAAATCAAGGGGAACAATAGGACTATTTGGTAACATATTACATCACATGACTATGCATTAGTTCTTGTTGTGAAATCTTTCCATGTCAGGAATACTTAGTCAGAAGTGTGGTACCGGTTTACTCAGAGTGATACAATTTTTCTGAGATATATTACTCAGTGATAGAGTGATACAATTTTTCTGAGATATATCTTGTTCTCTGGATTTCTTCAATTAGTGCACATTTCCTACACATTTATCTTAGCACATTACTATGATTGAGGTGAAAGCATTATGTAATCATGAAATTTGTGCATCTCAGTGGGATCGATTTTTATTTATCTTATCTATAAATCTTATCTTTACACATTTAACATACCATTTTGTCAATTTGCCTTTTGTGCCTGCCTCTGTGAAATATTTGCTTGGTACTTACAATATACATTTAGTATTTCAGCCCTAGGGACTTCTCTAACAGTTATCATGCTACTCTTTGTACGAAGCAAGAAGGTACATAAAAGCAAGTTCTGGAACGAAGAAATGTTATTTCTCTCCCTCTGCATTGGCCTCATTACAGCCTAACCTTAAGCAAATTTGTGAGTTCATGTTTCATAAACTAACATAAAACATGTTTACAAGCCCTGTGTAAACTCAAAGCAGATGCAAATAATCTGGAATTATTTTTCCAAGTTAATGATTAAATACCTCGCCTCCCATGACCCTGTTCACAAATGATTGAACAGTCTAGTACATCAGATTGAACCCTGGTGTTCGGTGTCAGCTCTACAGGATGACGGCCAGTGACGCTTACAGTGGCACTTTGGCAAAACATTAGTTACATGTGGGTCAGGGGACAACAGGGCACAACAGGACAGGAGAGGACAAGTAGGAGAAAGGCACAAAGACAGCCCCAGAGAGAAAGGCAGCGATGCAAATATTTAGCATTCTGTTTAACTGCCCTGAAGAGAAGGCATTAAATGAAAGAAAAAACAGAAAGTGAATAAGAGTGAATACGATAATTCTATAATTAGATTTCTTTCCTTAACATTGCAAATTAAGTGTCTGTTTTACCTCCTACAGGTGGGCACCATGAACTACGTGGGCCAGCTGGCCGGTCAAGTGCTGGTGACCGTCAAAGAACTGTACAAAGGCATCAATCAGGCCACACTATCTGGCTGCATCGATGTCGTGGTTGTTCGTCAGAGAGATGGTACATACCAGTGCTCCCCATTTCATGTGCGCTTTGGAAAACTGGGAGTACTGCGTTCAAAAGAGAAAGTAGTAAGTAATCAAAATTAACATGTTTCTCCCATCTAATCCACCGGTTTTATATGGACAGGCCTGTGAAATTTAACAAAATAATGTTACATCAATTACAACATTTTTAGCTTGCTTGCTCTGTAAGATGTAAAAATACCAAGATCAGTGGTATTTGCATTCCCATTGCAATATGAATCAGTATTAATATGAATCTCTCAAGCTGTTTCTGATCTTGTAAAATTGGCATACACCCGGGTGTTCCGTTAACTCTGATCTACTCCATTATTAAATCCGGGGCCTTGTGCAGGTCATTCAGTGACGGCCTTTCTTCTCTTTGCATTGTGTTGCCTTTGTGTTAAAAAATAAAATGACGACCATGGTCTGGTTTTGCTGCAGATTGCTCTAGGTGGTCAGACAAATGATGGTGCTGTGTTTTTGCAATGAATAGAGAAATAATGGAACATGCGATGAAGTGCATTCATTTTAAGGTTCGACATACGCTGTTTCATCCAGAAACGCAGCATTCTTGCTGGGAGTTGAATGTAGATGATTGAGATTATTCTTGACTGTACTCACATTCAAATCTTCTCTGGCATTTGGTAGCTGTTGATTAATGGTCAATTAACCCTGTGTCTTTAAGACATTATGTCCTCTAAAATACAGAGGCCTAATTTACTTGTTTTAATGAACACTAATATAAAGCCAGGGGATTATGGTTCTCAGGGAATTGCCACTGTTGGAACACCTACCCAGAATGTTGATGCCTTTGGAGGGGAGGAATGAAGGAGCGGTTTCTATAGCAACAGCTCCACAACTTGAATGCGTGGGAGGGGGAGGTAACATGAATATGGAGGTCTCAAAGGGGGCTGTTTTGTAACTGTTATGCATGTGTTCCTGTTTGGAAAGATGTTACAAAATATGAACTCGACTGAAGAAAATCTGTGGTAATGCCATGCAAAAATTTTTTTTTTCCCTTGGCTGGCAACAAGACTGTTTGATTATAAAAATACTCGGATGGATTTGGCATCATTTTCTGTTCTTATTTTTAGAAACTTTAAGAAATCAATTATTGCTCTGGACACGCAGCCTTAATTTCAAGAGTCAGAGGTATTTCTGCATTTATTGAGCACAACAGCTTTTTAAAATGACCAGTGTTTCATGTCAACCCACAGGTGGGCATTGGTTCAGAATTAATAATGATGAATTGGTTTCAGATTCTGAGACTGGGGCACAGTACTTGAATCAAATCTGTCTGCTGTGGAGTCTCTGCCAGACGTGACCTGGTTTTTGCTTGTGTGGGATCAAGTTTCTGAATGGCTGGGGTCCACTGGGAGTTTGCCTGCTTCTATGAATGGCCCTGTTCAATTGGCAGGTCCTGTGTAACGCAAGCCCAGAGGAGCAATACACTTTAGGTTTTTCAAAAACTCTGGAACTTTAAGTAGACAATATCTGACTCAGTTATATATATGTTTTCATAATAAACCCTACTTTACTGTTGTAAAATGAAACACTTAAGTCGTGCTCTATGTTTTTTTTCAGATTGACATTGAGGTGAAGGGGGAGCCAGTGGAACTGCACATGAAACTTGGTGACAATGGAGAAGCCTTCTTTGTCCAGGAATCTGAGCAACAGAACGTAAGAAACTCTCAACCCTAACGGTCAAAGTTCACTTAGAAATAATAATGCTGCTCTTGTTTTTAATGTAATTTTTTTTTGTAACATTTGGAACTAACATCAAGGCGGATAATGGATAATACGTCTCTCTCTCTCTCTCTCCCTCTTTCTCTCTCTTTTTTTTTTGTTTCTTGAATTAATTTAAATGAATTATGTCTGAGACATGAGATGAAACTTCTCTGCCAGGTGAAGTACTGGTGTTTCAGATAATATCCAAGATAGTTTTGTTGAAATCAAACATCCTAATTAGTTGCACATTCCCACCCCAGTGAGTAACATTTGCAGCAGCTGTAACCATTTAGTTGTGTGAATCTACAGTAAACAGCTTCATGTTCTTTTTCCCCCCATATGTGAGTTGTTGCCATAGCTATCAGCCTGTCGCCCAGGCAAACAATGCTGTGAGTGCAAATAACAGCACGTGGCTGGAGTGTGTGACTGCTATGACTGCTTTGTTAGCCATTATTGTCTCTATTTAACATCATCAAGTCCAAGTCATGTGGTGGTTAGAATGTTCAGCCATTGTGCAGTGTGTCCCTGATTTGTCTTTTTGGTTCACTAGTCGTCTGCTGTGAAATTTGAGAGGAAGTAAAATCATGTTTCGCTCTGTCATGTTTAGGAACACTTCTTAGCTTCAGCGAGTACAGACAGTTTCTGTGCTGTAACCAGTGGCAGTTGGTCTGGTTTTAAAACGGAGGAAGCTCATTTGAGTTCCAGTTTAGAGTGGTTAAAAGTGGTTCTGGGTCATTTTGTCCTTTCACAATGCAGAAGCCCAGTTTTTTCCATGCCTGCCCACTGCATATGGACGGTGATGGTGCATCTTTTTTTCTGATCAAAAAGGAGAAACCAGAACCACTGAGAACAGTGACCATCACTCCCTCGGAGACCACTCACTTCCGTGTTATTCTCAGTTCTGAGGCCATGGAGGCAGACACAAAGTCTGAAAAGCAAAACCGTGGCTCCAGTGCTTGTACTATTGTCAAACCTGAGCCTCGAACCCCTCTCACACCTGTAACAGCAGTGAGTCCTCTTTCATCGGTCAGTACAGAACCATCCATAAGTCCAATAACGCCCACAGAACCCCTGGATGTCCTGTCACCAAACCTAGTCAACTCCACACCATGCACTCATCCGAGTGATTCACCTTCTAAAAAGAAAGGCACGTTTTACCTCTTTGTCACTATGAATCTTTTCAAATTAGACCTTATAAAAGTCAAATTATAATATTTTTGTTTTTGTTGCAGGAGTCCCAAAAAGAAGCCAGCACCAGGGTCCTGAAGATATCTACCTAGATGATCTGAATGTTCTTGAACCTGACGTTGCTGCAAGATATTTCCCTAAGAGGTAAAATTTCAAAACATTTCTTCTGTGGTTCTCAGCCTTGCAGAGAAATTCTTTTGATTGAATTATTGATTTTTTCCCTGTGTGTTTCAGTGATACAGAGGTGGCCTCTAAGCATTGGATGGACTCCGAGATATGCTCTGGTTCACAGTCCCCTCAGTCAGTGGGCAGTGCTGCAGCCGACAGTGGGACGGAGTGTCTTTCCGACTCAGCCAGTGACCTCCCTGACGTCACCCTCTCTTTGTGCGGAGGCCTCACAGAAAATGCAGAAATATCCAAAGGTATACAGTAATACCAGTTGTCTTCTGTGCAGAACAGAAAGTCCCTACGTGGTGATCAAAGATAGTCGTGGTTAATCCACAATGAGTTGTTTCATCTCTTATCTATTGATTAATTTTTCCCAATTCTGTGTTTGCAGAAAAGTTCATGGAGCATATCATTACCTATCACGAATTTGCTGAAAACCCAGCCATTATAGATAATCCCAACTTAGTAGTGAAAATAGGAAATAGGTAAGTGAGAGTTTGACGTATCATGGAATGACATGGAAGGTCAATTTTTTGTCTCCTGACATCTTTTCTGTTTAAAGATACTATAACTGGACACTGGCTGCGCCCCTGATTCTCAGTCTACAAGCATTTCAGAAGAACTTACCAAAGGTACTTAAGTCCTTGTTGAATATACAGTATAATCTGAAGTTGAGAATCCTTTGAAATTTACAACTGGCTCATTAACAAATGTGTTTATCCAAGGACACGGAGGAGGCTTGGATGAAGGAGAAGATGCCAAAAAAGTCAGGCCGCTGGTGGTTTTGGCGGAAGAGAGCGGACAGTACAATCAAGCAGGTGTGGACACATCAACCAAAGTGTCAAAGTTGTTTTAACGGCTTGTCCACTGGAACAGTAATTACATTTTTTTTTCTGAATCATTGATTGTTTTAACAGTCTGAAACCAAGCTTGAAACCAAGGAGGAGTCTCAGTTGGTGGAGGAAGGAACGTCCATATCTCAGGAAAAGCTGGTCTTGCCGTAAGTGATAACAGTTTTTAAGTGTATCTTTTGTCTGATTCAAGTGTACGACAAAACTTAGAGTAGACCTTCAATACACAACATTTCAATGATTGAAAACTACATTGAAATTTAAAGTTCAAAACCCCTACTGTAGATTTTAAAGTGACAATATTTGATGTGTGTGCATTTAGGCCTAAAGCAGAAGATTCATCCAGTGATGAGGAGTCCAAGGAGGTGAGTGCTGCATCCTGTCAAGAAAGGCTGCAGCCAGGAGATGGTCAGCACCACACCAGCTCTCACACTTACAGGAAGTCACTGCGCATTTCCTCTGATCAGATAGTAAGTACATTCCTGACCCCAAGGCCTCCCTTTGATAATGTGTTTTAGAATAATATTCTCTATTAATTCACTTCACTGCTCATTTTATAAATTATATTTCACTAGTCTTCAGAATTGATCACTGATAAATATTTTCCTTTAAAAAAAAATCTAAACAGTGTGTTGCAAATTATGTAATCTGGTTTCTGAACTTGACTGGTAGTTCAGAGCT